TTGGATAACTCGATAAGTTTATGCGTATAGGAAAAATAGCATTCAACATCTCATAATTCAATGTATTTAACTATAAAACAACCATACTGTGCTAGAGTTTATCATCTCGTTAATTGGCTAAGTACTTCGTCTCCAATAAGTAGGCTAAAAATGGAACTTGTTATTAATTTCTAATATTACGTAACTCATCTGTCAGGAATGGATTCATGTATTTGGCTTCGATCTACACTCTTAGTGTGATGACCATTGATGCTACTCCGTTGTTCAAACGGAGTCAAGTGAAACGGGATTCGAACCTGCCACCTACTACTGAAACGCCTCTTTACTGCTGTTTGAATGGTAATAAGTCTCATCATCCGGATTTTTTGTTTTATTTTTCGTTGAATAATTACATTTCATCATGTTTTGTGCGGTTGATCGTTTCGATTGCTGTGAGCAATCCGGTCGTGTGATGAGCATTAAAAAAATACCGAACCACCCACTTAGAAGCCCGAATGAAAAAGTATCAAAATATATAACGAATTTTTAGTAAGCAGAATTAGTTCATGCAACAGAATGATATGCGTACAGAATACTGGGTGTGCATGAAAATTTACACAGTTGAATTCATGAGTCGATCTAAGCTAGATCGCCATTGAAAACCTGGAAACACTGAACGGCCTAGTATAGGACTCCGTGGCAGTACACATCCACGATCTCGCATGCGGGACGCGAGCCCAGGGCCTCTGGTCTCGCGCGCAAACGCTTAGCCACTGAGCCTGTATGAAGGGTTGTGCAAGGTCATAGATCGATTGAAGTTAAACAATAACACCTTCGGATGCTAGCTCAGTGGTCTAGAGATCAAACGTTTGCGCGTGAGACCGGAGGCCGTGTGTTTGAGTCCTGAGTGCGGGATCGTAAACGCGTACTGCTGAGTTGTCCCATACTAAGATGAAACGAACGTCCAGTGCTCCCATGTCTTCACTGGTGGTCTAGTTTAGATCGTTCCGTGAATTCAACTGTTAACATACTACAATCTCCACAAATTCCCATACTGGTATATAAATTATGTTAATGTAGCTGTTACCAACGACATTAGATCCTTGTGCTATGCCACAAATCGGTTGATGTTGAAACTGTACTATTAGACATTGACTCACTGGTTCTAATAATTAAGCATTTTCTGAGAGACCTGGAGATCTTGAATCCGACAACTGATAGGGTCGGTAACGCACACTCTTGCGAAGACACACATTAAGACGTAACAGCAGTTCACTGCTTCCTGGTTTACAATGATACCCCAGCCGATATCAATCGATGAGAAATATCACCTATAGATCTATATTCGGTTGGAATCTAAAAGTGTCAGTGTTTCTTAGACTCTGATTTTATAAGTTATTACCAAACCAATGATACTGGCTTATCTTTTGTCATATCAAGAAGCCAGCCAACGATAAGTGATATTGCTCTTTTATGTAAACAAACTAGATGAATTGAGAGAAAATTCTACTAACATATTTAATACTGCCCAAAAAACAAAGGAAAAACAGGGTTTTTTACGTAATTCGGTACTTATTAGCGGGACACTCACAACTCTTCATAAAAACAAACTCCAGACTTTCAGGTAATTCACCATGTTCAATAACCTTGCAATTATTGATTCAATATCCAGCAGTTAACACTGTACACTACACTGGATTTATGACATTATCGTCCCTAACTTTCTGACATGGTCATTTTTATATGTCATAGTATCCCAGTGGTGCACTGACATTTGTCAGGAGTCTAGCTCACTATTGATTATTTAACTTATCATTTCTCAATAATTATCCTCTTCCATAGTTATATGGCTCAACTCCTACCTTAAAGCATCATACCTCACTTTTCAGCAAGAAGAATAATTTATAACTTCCTTAGTATTGTATAGTGAATTCAATCTAATTGTTTCTCCAAAATGTATTTTAATATGATTTACCGAATGAAACATTGACATCGTAAAAAAAATCAATTTTATTTTCTATTCCCTTACCGTTGATTACTCACTATGGATAATAAAATTATTTATGTTTGAACTTGAAAATAAAGTCACTTGGCTTTTTAGAGAAGAAAACTAGCCCGTTCAGCCTTAGTTCACTAATTGCAATTATGTTCTTAACTTTAACCCTGAGGTCGAGGTCAAGTTTTACGTATTGGTTTTTTGTTTCTGTATTGTATTATTGTCAACCAGGTCAATTTGGTGGTTCTTTTTTCTTTCTACTAATGCTGAATACAATTCACATAAACGCATTCACACATAGATTCAATAAGGTAGATTTGAGGACAAAGATTTCGTTTTTTTCATAAAAGGTTTTACAACAAAACAATGGAGAATAAGATCAATTAGTAAATTGTTCATTTATGACTAAAGATGTGCATTTTTGTTCTTAGATGTTTTATTAATGCTCATGCACACACCTACAACATCCACTTTTAAAATCGTGTTACTTTGAGGGTTACCATCTGGTTGATCCTTAAACTATTAAATAGTTGATGTCTTTTCCTCGAAACTTCATTCATTTTAAAATAAGGGTCGTTCACGTATGTATACTTTAATATTACAGACGTCAGTATTCATGGATCCTGCAATATGCAGTGAATTACCATGCGAGATTATCATAGATACACCAATGCCACTGAGGAAGCCCTCACTATTCGGAGCTACCTAGGATTATACGATATAGAAGCTAATGATGACTTCCAATTCGAAAGAAAATACCCTCAACTAAACACTTAGATTAGATCACATTTATTGTTTCTTAATGATGAACATGGACAACGGGCGACTGCCAGTGGATTAATGGTTAACAGCCTATCATCTCGTTACTAAGAAATTGAATGACTCTTCTATACCTACTGATATTTAGCAATATACGATCCAATTTCCGTCTCACCATCGAAGATCTCACTGAGCATTCTCGTACTTTATGGCACCTAGCTATCCAAGCACTTCCCCAAATAAACAGTACAGAACAAAAAAATATAACACTCGTTTTATAGAAAAACTTACCAGGTTCTCTACAATACATCTTCAGTTACAACTAACCGATATAACTGACCTAAAAGACATTCTCTATCCATTTGCACCTGTAGATATGCTAATAATGAGTCGGAAGTCGTCATACTTCATGTCTAATGAACAAGTTATGGAGAAGTATCATAGGAATACTGCACAGATTAGCTGCAGTTAACCGTCAGCAGAGTTAATACGGTAGACAAGGTCTAATGACCTAATTATGTAACTGAAACATATCTGTAACAAATACAACGAAGAAATTAATTTCAGTAGCTAAATCAATTAAAAGTAGGACAGTAAAGATGTTTAAAAGTTCGTTAAGGTACAATGTTATTCAGTAAATAAATGTCTCCATAGATCACCAATCATTGTTAAATGAATTCGAAACTTTCTCGCTAAATTTAACATCATCTCCCCGTATTAGCATTATACTATAAATTCCATTTTTAATATTAAACATAGTAATTATACAGTCTGCTGGCTTTTCAAGATATATACGTTCAGATAGTTTTGTGTTGGTGAAAATCTAGTTTCATTTACAAACTTCTATTCAATGTGATAATAAAACTAACAGCAAATCCTTAACATTCGAGTTAGACAAGCTGAAAACTGATTTGCAAGTTCTATCAATTCACATTTTTTACATTTTTTCGAGGGCAAATAATTTAAACCGTCAGTATTATAGATCAAAAGAATAAAGGTGTTAAACACTAGTTTTTAATAATCTAGAGTTCTTTTGCCTTAAGGCTTTGCATAGTTCAACTCAATAGTCTATAATTATATAAACACCTAGTTTTCAACTCTAACTACCTATCTGTTCATCTTTTTTTCCGACATTCCTGTAAATGTCTCTCTGTAACAAATTCTTTTCTTCTCTTGTAAATATTCTTTATTTTTTTAATAATTTTTCAATATTCTACTTATAGAGGATCACGAGTTGCCCATAAAATTAAATAAAGATTTTATCAGACATTTTGATAGGAAAAAATGTCATTGAAAAATATTTTTTCACTGTCGTTTCTTCCTTCGTACATCATCTTATTTTATGTAAAATTATTGACAGTGCATAAATCATTTGAATATGGTATTCAAAGTAAAAGGTTGTCATAAGTCATTTTTATTCCATTTTTGTATGCTGTAATTTGGTTGTATATTCTTGCAGAAAATTTATTTCGATTTTTTTAACTATGGTAGCATTTTAATTTTGTTGAAATTATTTACCTACTGAATTTAAGTTAGTAGTTGTAAACTGAAGCCATATATAATTATCCTTTCTAAGCAAACATACACATCATGTGAATCAATTAAATATTTAACCGTTCGGTAAGCATTTTTCTCTTCGAGTTTTAGTAATTGACTTGTCACATCTTCGCCTCTACTAATATTATGGTTCAAAATATTAGAGTGCAGACATGTCATTAGTGAAACAGTCATCATCATTGGAACCAGATGATCACAAGCTGCATTGCTATCTGATTAAACTTGGAAATATGTACCATTTGAAATCAATCTATTGGTTTTATGGTTAGATACCCTTAGCGACAAGTCACGTTCCTAGGTTTAATACTTTTTGGATTCACAAGTACAGTTTTCTGAATAGTCCAGTGTGACGATGAAACTTCAGTCTAATGTTCTCTGATATCAAACGGTTATCCTACCTGAGGTTCATTCATGACGAATACCAGATAATTATTAGCTAACAGTCAACATTTGGACTTTAGAATGATAATAAAGAAATTCTTCATGTGAATCAACAATATCACGGTCTTCAATGCATTCGTTATCAGATCATGAAAATAGCATTGTCAAACCTACTATTTAGGCATTCTTAAACTTTTTTTCTTATTTCCACAAATCAATCTAATTGTGTTTTACCAAGAAAAAGTTATTTTTCTCGTTATTTATACTTCATTAAATCTGTTCCACTTTCCTTATCTGCTCTATATTCCTAAAACAAACAAAACAATAGTCAGATTCAGTCAATTTACCAAAAGACAATTTATCAAGCCCGTTACAAAATGGTCAAATTCATCCACCAATATCGAGTAGTAGTAGTATTATTCCAATTAATCAACCCACTACACCAACAATAACACCTACATGTTTAACGAATAATTTTATTACTTCACATCAAAATATTTCACAAAATTTATCAAATCCATTATCTATACAACATGTTAATTCATCATCATTGCCTGTAACACTAACAACACAATCCTTGACAACAACTGATGGACAAAATGAAATGTATTCTAATCAATCTGTACAAAATCAATTGAAATTAGCTCAAGCTCAAGTGAAACGGTTGGAGATGGAAATTAATCAATTAAAACGTCAAGCTATGCCAGTAATGGGTAGTTCAATGAATGGATTAGTTTATGCAACAAATTATACTAATATTGAAGTAAGTTGATGAAAACTTGTGTTTTTTTATTCAACATAATAAATAAATGGATTATATCAACATTGTGATATAACGGGTGTTTAAAATGTTTTATTTCACTTTCACGTATATTACGATAATATAATAATAAGACTAGTCACGTTATATCAGAACCAAGATTCACAACCCAGAATAGAAAACTAGATTAACACCACATAATACCTTTATTCGACGTAATTACAAGTATTTGAACTCAGTTAATCCGGAGTAGAAATCAATGATAGTAAAGGAAATCACATATTTAGTAGTCACTAGGCAAAGCAGTTGAAGAACATATACAACTCAAAACAGCTGTCAACCAACATTAAAGTCATAATCTTCAATACGAACGTCAAGACAGTCTTACTGTACGGAGCTGAAACTTTGAGAACAACTACAACCATCATCAAAAAGGTACAGGTATATAGTTGGCTACGCAAAATGCTGAATGTCCGTTGGCCGAATACCATTAGCAACAGCCAGGTTCCAGCAGAAGAGGTGAACCATATTCATTGTATTTTTACAGAGACTTACGTATTTTCCCCTGTATGCAATATTGTGTGCGAAAACTATTACATAAATGATTTTATCATGGTCTAATTATGACGCGATTCTGGGCAGTCGATAAATCTTGATTGCACAAACATTTCGTGTTCTCACTTTGAGTTGTGTTAAGTGTAGCCATTCTCATTTCCCAGCATAAGCAGCAGGATTGAGGAATTGCAGCGTTCCCTTCCCGATTGTCAAGTAAAAGCAGTAAAATCGCGGATACAACTGAGTTGATACGTACATAACAGCGATGATGCATGCAAATACTTACAGAGGCAGCACGCTTATGTAAGAAAGTACGACCGCGAAAATCAAAGTGAGGACGGGGTCAATTTACAAGTTTAAATTTTCAGTATAAATAACTTTTTCCAATTTCAATTCAGTTTTCGGTTTAGGTTACACTTCAAATACATTTTTCAGTTATAAACAAATTATTTAAAAATCCCTATCATACTAAAATACTAATATATGAACGAAGAATATTCTTTTCGATAAATTCTCTTCAGGTTCTATAATTCATACATCCAAATTAATAATCCGAAAAATGTCCAGGTTAAGGGTAATGTACATCGTTTAAAGCATGTGAATTTAGGATTCTCAAGCAAAATAGAATAAAATTTTTAATGTTGGTATGACTCTATAGAATGTTAACTTGAGTCAGTGCATATGTTAAGTGGAATTTTAAGATCCATGATCCGAATAAATATGAGTCAGATATGGTGAGAGAAAAAAATAAAGCAATTACAAATTCAATCAAATGTTTGGTGGAAGACTATAATGTTAAAAAATTGGTAAGACATAGTAAGACGAGATAAATGCGATGTAAATGAATCATGTATTCAAGAGATTAATAATAATACAAAAATGTATGAATAAAGATAACAGAGGCAATTATATTTGACTGAGAAAGGTTGTAAGTACCCTAGTCAAATTGTCGTTCAGTAGCTAAGATTACTATCGATTAATTGTCATTGAGGTTGATCAAGTGAGGAGAAGTGGTTGAAGATATTCCTTTTGTACACATAGCTCAGGTTTCTTAATCCCGATGGCTACCGCTTCAGCCGTTTGAAGGACTTTGGTTTTAACAAGCTTTGGCAAAATCTTGATGACCTGATAAATAGCTGGAAAGGGATATTTTATACTAGCACCTTGACCGGTTTGCACTAAATGAGCCAATATCGAGCTGTTCAGTTTCTTCACTAGACCGTCGCTTAGCCACGCTAGGAGGTGTTCCCAAGAATAAAAATGTAAATTCATAAAACTTCCACCAATATAACTTGCTCCACATGAGCAGTCGAAGTGATAATTAGAAAATGAGGTTGTCTTTCTAGGTAACTCATCTTTTAGCCTCGGTATCACCATTGGGCGCGTAGAAAACACTAATCGTAGTCCTGTTCACACAGACACATCAGATCAGATTGACGTGGTGGGCGTCTAAGCACTGATTTGATTGATCAGTTACTGACAACAACTCTTATTCTTTTACGAAACGTCGAAAACTAGTAACTAAGGTAAACAAGTTATGCAAATAAATAACTCAAGTTGATTGCTAATAATAGTTATGAATAAATTTACTCGATATTTGATAGCGTTTAGATTGCTACAAATAGTTATAATTATACACTTTAGTGTGATCCGCGAATGGTGTCATTTAAAACCTATCCCTCCATTATTTTCTGGTAGTAGACATTCGTCGTTTAACCACTTATCCCTGGAATTTGTCCTTTTTATATAGGAGTCGCTTCATATCTGCTTTTACTACTTATTATTATTGATTTTGAAATCCATAATTGAAATACGTCACGCTTGAAAAGCTATAATCAACGAAAATTCATGAGTTTAATTTTTTTTAAATTTTCATGTACATTTTTTGTGGTGAGTTTTTTCTGCAGTTTCTAGGACTCCCAAGTCCTCTGTGAAATTTGAATTACTTATATTGAACTGGGTACCAGACTATGTGAATCAAAATAAACCCTAAGTAAGAATGAAGTATGTATGAAACGTTCTCTTTATTAACAAATATTCCCAAATACTGATTTCAGTTCAGAACTTAATTGTGCAATAGAATAATTTTATGTACAGATATCATTAGTAAATAAATAATATAGAATTCAGACTTAGAAAGCTTTTTGTCCCTAATGTTCTTACATTAGACAATACATCTGGAAACGAAAAAAGTAATTTGCAAGCTCCTACCAGACACAAAACCTTAGTATTCTCTGAGTTGTGACTCAATTTTAGAGCTCTCATTGTTCTGAATATGGCAACTTAATTGTACTAGAAATTTAGATTTTAACTTGTCTATTGTTTAGATTTATGTTTATTGTCACGACCCTGTTTTCTTCCTTGTTTTACGTTTAAACAGCCGGGAATATCAATGGATACCGTTGATAGTCCTGATCTACGATGTGGTATTGCACGTTTGGAATTAGATGGTACTAATGGCGGTGGAGGCGCCGGTGTCAATAGTAATGGAGAATGGATTAACGAATTGAGTATTAGTAATAAACCTAAACCAGTTGGTACTATCCATCCATCATTGGTACAAGGTAATCAAAACAGACTATTATGGATGGATCGCGCATCACAAGATACTATACGATCATTGCATATACGTTTAGGAAATATATTAAAAGAAGCCTTAGAAATTCATAATCGTTTAAGTTCTCTCCTATCAATTCCATCTGTAGAGTAAGAAATTTTGTGTTCAATACATTAAACTCACTGACTGACTACTTCTTATCAGTCTTCCTGTATACATGACTTTTAAAATTTCTTTCTTTATAATTTAGTTTAGATTTCTTAATGTATTACCAAGTTTTCTCTTAACATCAATGTTTCTTCTCTAAGATGATGAAATCCCCCCCCCCTAACAATAATACGAACATTTTTATTCTATTCTTTTTGATAATAACGGATATTGTTAAATGCCTGTTAGTATTTTAATCATCATCAATGCTGTTGTACAGTTCATGTAATTTACTTTACTTTGTTATACTGGTGAAATGTAAATTCTTTTACAATTTATTACATAAAACAAAATTAACTCAAAAAAATAAATAAAAAGAAACAAGTATTATCACTATTTATTATTATTCGTAAATAGTAATGACAAGGTCATATCTATTTATCCTAATGCATGATGTTTATTTTATTTCTCTTAATTGATGTTTCTTATTACCTGCGAATTTCCTCTACTTTTTTTCTACCTTTTATAATATAATTCCAAGATTAATTTTACAAATAATTCTTAATATAGTGGTATTACTTTAGATACAATAATTCGTCTTTAATATCAATGAATGAATAAGAGAATTCAGCGAAGAAAATTTTCTTTTTGACGAAATCATTTACTAAACTGTACATTCGTATATACAGTTATATGGGAAATGTATATCTATAGGAGGATAGAAAAAATTGCATCACAAAAATGGAATCGAGAATAAATAACAAATGAGGTAAGGATGAAAATTGTTTATGGGTCTTCCTAGTATGAAACTCCTCGGCAGCGCGCATCCACGATCCCTCTGCGGGCTTTGAACCCCGAACCTATCGGTCTCGCGCCAGGCGCCTAACCAACTAGACCACTGAGCCGGCATCCAACGGTGTTAATGTCTAACTTCAATCAATCCACGAAGTTGCGCCAACGTACACTATTGTCTTCAGTGACTGATAAGTCCTGTGTTCGTGGATGCGCACTGCTGAGGATTCCCATACTAAGACGAAACGGCCGTCCAGTGTTTCCAGGTTTTCCATGGTGATCTAGCTCCAATCGATTCATGATTTCAACCAGTGAAATTTCTAAAATCTCCACAAAACCCCTTCAAATATGAAGAAAAGTGACAAACACAAAAGTCATAATAATAAACTGAATAATATATATATGAATGTACAGCTTAAGTAAATAATTTGGTCGAAAAGAAAATTTTCCTCGCTGAATCCTCTTTTTCTTAGTCAATAAATTACTTAAATAGATTAAATTTGATTTATTTCCTGTAGTGTAATATCTGCAAGATATTTCTTATGTAGTTCGTGTATCAATCGATCTGACAACTTATTACAATAATTCCGAGCGGTACATAATTTTCCAGAGGACGGTAATACAATGTAGTAATGTAGTTATTGTCGTACAGCATATTTCAAACAACCACCAAGCACACGATAGGAGACAATGAGGAAGCAAGTAATTTAAATGGAAATTACGAAATACATAAAAACATGCATGCGGTTTAAGCAACTAACATTTACGCGAGTAAGGGTAGCTGTATTCATGGGCCGTAACATATAATCAATCATCGGAATGTAAGGGTACAAGTACAAGCAAATTCTTACTGACATAAATGCTGATATGTTGAATTAATTATTTGGAGAGCTCAGTTTATTGCTGTCCTCCAAGCATTGCACTTGGTAGAAAGATAGACAATATAAAATAAACTGTGTATCAACTTCCTTTACAGATGCTTCAGTGGAATTACACTGTCATACAACTTGGTATAAAAAAATACTATGTACCGAAATTCAATTATACTAAGGTAACATAAAAGCTATGCAGAATTCAGATTCCTCTGATAATTTTGCTTACAAGAGCTAATCACATACTAATTGAGGTAGAACAAAACATTTCAAGAAGACCTACGGTACGACAGCTTAGTGGTTACGATACACCTCCTACTATTGGTTCAAGGCTGGAAACCTCTTCTCATCATCTCGCACTTTCGGAAATAGCAAGACAGTATTAGCGAACCCCCACAACAAGAAGTATGAATTAAAATCAAGTACACAACTCTGCATATGGCTACTCTACTTGTTGTCGTTTGACTTTATTGTCTTCAAAATCACAGTAGGTCTTAGACATTAAAAACAAGTATAAGTATAGTGAGAATAAGCTGTCTATTGTCCAAATGAACAGATCTCTACGTCGAGTATATTCGCCGAACATTAGTTTTTGATACATGGGATCTTTAAGCCATGATTTTCCTCTGATATGATTCAGATTAACAGTACTTTTTAACAATATGATATGGAATGGCTAGAAGATTTAGAAATACGCATTATTGTACTACCACGAAATATCTAGGGTGAAATGGATTGGAAAATATCGCACTAAACTGCATGTTATAATCATTCTTCTGCAAACTGACTGACAGAAATTTCTGATAAATATTAGGAAATCAAAAGTCTTTCGTAGTTTATAAAACCGGAATGTTATTACTACTTAAGAAGCAATGCCAACCATATAAAAATGATAATAACAAACACCAAAATAACAAAAATTTAGTGACTTTTGACGAGTTTGAAAATGCCGAAGGTGTTTTTAAACATAAATGCTGCCACCAATTACTATAAAATATGTAGTTTTACTTTGACAAGATTACATTTATTCCTCACAAACGAACACCTCTCGTCTCATCCGCTTCATCTGTTGATATGAATCTGGTTGAGGGTAAGCGCTACGCTTACGATAAGGTTTGGTGTTTTGTTTCATCATTACAAAGTGTAGTGAATCATACTGCCCTGAAGATGAATCTTCTTCATTTTCGGAAGCAACTTCGTCGTACACTGTTTTACAGTCATCGAAAGCAATAACTTTACGATCGATAGTACTGAAAGCTAACGGTTCCATTGGCAAGAAATACAAAGGTAATTGTAACTTGTCAACTGGTTGAAATTCTTTGCGCTCAATTAACTCGCAATCCATATTAGTATCAGTAGAAAGTAGACTATTTTTATAGACAGATTCGTAGACAGTATATTCGTTAGATATTTCAAGCATTTCACTTCCTGAAACCTTATTATCCATAATCGCATGATTTGAATAGATAACCTTTTGATATACTGGAACTACATTTGTGTGACAATTTGGACAATAAGCTATAGGTAATTCATTAGAACATTGTTCTAAAGTAGGAGCAATTGGATCGTCCCGTTTAAATGTTTCTATATAATTTCCTGATTCACTTGATAGAGACTCAAGAGACGACAAAAGATTAGTGTCAAAGTTACTAGATATTCTTGACTTTCGACGTTGCTGAACCCACCTTGACTTTTGAGTATCGACACTCTCTCGAAAGGGACGCTTAAAAGTTAAACTTGACCGCTTCGTTGTGCATAAAAGCGACCACAGTAACGGTTTTTTCTTTATTTTCAGCTTATTCTCTACTAAAGCGCGTTGTGAACCAGAATTTTTAGAAAACCATCGCATTATAGACTAAAAAGATAAGGTCGGAAACAAAAAATTAATTAATATCTGCTAATTTTGAGTTTTTGTAGTAACAAAGAAACCCCAAATGTGACCGAACATTAAAACGAGAAAGTATATAGATTTTACACAACTTACCCTTTAAATTTGACTGGTGCAGTGTAACGTGCTTTGAGAATTAAAATTTATTTAACATAACTAATATCTAATTAAACAGTAAATTTTTGACAGGGTAGACAACAGAAATTTATTTTCCTCTTTCTTTACGCTTACTGTTTTATATATTCAATCAAAATGACCATGAATACAGAATTAGTAAGTACAAATTTTTCATTTTATAAATAACCGATTATGTGACATCATAACTATATATCAGTGCAGTAGCAGCCTCAACATACACAAGGGAAAAAGCAACAAACTCAAATACAACACGGAGAACATCAACACAATCAAATTCGATAGAAGAACTCTGGAACAGGTGGAAAGTTTCACGCACCTCGTTAGCATCATCGATTAACAAGGAAGATCTGATGAAGACGTAAAGGCGAGGATTGGAAAAGCAAAAACAGCAGTCCTACAGTTGAAGAACATATAGAATTTAAAACGATTGTCAACCAAAATAAGTCAGAATCTTCAATACGGACGTCAAGACAGTTCTACTGTATGGAGAACTACCACAAACATCATCAATAAGTTACAAGTATTTGCAAATAGTTGGCTACGCAAGATATTGAATGTCCGTTGGCCGGATACTATCAGCAACAACCAGGTTCCAGCTGAAGAGAAAATTAGGAAAACACGTTGGAAGTGAATAGGACATATATAACGGATATAATCAAGCATCAGTACGAGGCAAGCGCTAACTTGGACCGCTGAACGGAAACGGAAAAGAGGGAGACCAAAGAATACGTTGCGTGGAGAATTGGAAGCAGAGATGAGAAGGATCAATAGCAACTAAAAACAGCAGGAAAGGACTGTCTAGGACAGAGCTGGATGGAGAATGCTGGTGAGCGGATTGTGCTCCTCCATGGGGAGTGAAAAGTGTAAGTAATCATAACTAGATACGGCCGTTTATACGCTGAATAGCAATTTGTACTAACCTTAAGCTTCTGAAAATAGATATAGAGTACATTTCATATTTTAACTAATTATAGGTATGTTTGATTTAGTCTGTAATTTTTACATAAATCAGACATGTGTAGTGGGTAACAGTAACTACTGTCAAGATTCATACGCTGAACAATGTGACTGAGATGACAAGCAAAGACAGACTACGCATGGTAGTCATCTGTTAATTTTGTTGGTGACTAAGTAACCTATTAAACCTAAGTCCCTCAATAACCTATTTGTCAGGTGATATCTGATCATATTTCTGCATCGCATACTTCACTTGGAAGCATTTCATTTGATTATAGATAACCCATTCTGGTAGCCAGATGTTTTAAAACACGTCTTATGTCAATAATTTGGTGTGGAGAGTAGTTATTAATAGCCTGTATTGTGCATTATTTATCAGTACCTATGATATAATTTTAAAACCCTGAGATATGCTCATCATCTAAACCAAATACTCCCTCTCTACAACACAGTCATAACTAATAAATGAAGGCTAACGATATTGCATGGCAGGTGACCAAACAGTAGATACAATTGATTTCAATGGCACAAGTACCCTTCAAAAAAGCCTTAATTCATACAAGAAAAGACCAACAGCCGAAGCCCTACATATATGGGTTAATTCAAACAGTATTAATAGGAGAGGTGGAATACATCTAGCTGTCCCATGGCAACTAATAATTAATAAGTAAACCTGAATATATATATATATATATATATATATATATATATATATATATATATATAATGTTTTCTTAATATTCACCAACCGAAGACAATATATAATGAGTGAAATTTCTTCTCATTTTCGTATACACACAATCTGTTATCTTAACACTTCGTTTCACACCAGACGTCTCTTACACACTAATGTAAAAACCTACTTTAAACATTGTTAACGTTGATTAGATGACTTATTCAGTATAGAGTAAACAGGAGAATCATGTACCTACTAATATTCAATAATTTTGATGTTTGACTATATTTCCTTGAAAAAGCTTGGACCAGATTGCAAGGCGAAACGCTGGATTTACATCGAATTCTTTCGCTGAGACTTGACAAATACATTCTTCCCCTTTAAGTGATAAACTAAGTTTTATCTCACAATATAAGGTAAGACAGAGAGTGTATACACCTAAGCCATTGTGATCGATTCTAAGCCACGTCGTACAGAGTCTCCAACCATTACATACGATAGTCGCGCGGACACCAACCAAGTAGTTTGTATCTACCAACATGGCTCAGACTGGAACTTAGTGACTAAATTGACTGATACCACGTTTTGGTTCGGCAGTCTCTAACATTCTTCCATACGTCTCAAACATTAGTTAGCATTGCGCGTCGTGGTAATCGGTGGTTGGGCATGCGCAACACGTGGTCCAACTACCTAAGTTGATGAAGATTCAAAACCTCATCGACTGGTTTGCCATCATTCCATAATACCCTGTGTCTAACCTCACTATTACTTACCCGCTAATCCCAGCTGATGCGAGCAGTATTTCTAGGACATCTGTGATCAAATACTAGTAACTTACGAGTATCTTCTAATCTTAATGGCCACGTTTCGCAGATATGAAATAGAACAGAACGAACTACTGCGCAGTATACTCGTCCAGTAATTGATAAACGGATATCTCGACTTCTCCATAGGTGACGTAATTTGGCAAAAGCCAAACGAGTTTTTCGGATCCGTGCAGAGATTTCATCAGACACCAACGCATTAGGACTGATCAGACTTCCAAGATAAGTGAGGTTGTCAACGTGTTCGACTACTTCACTCCCTATGCTTAGTTAAGGTGTTGAAGCAGGCCAGTCGTGAAGCAACACCCTGCATTTAGAGGGTGAGAAACGCATCCCAAACATTCTGGTATTGTTGCTCAGTGCTATCAAGAGGCTGCTGGAGAAGATCTGTAGCTCAGGTGGATGATTTTGATGGAGTTTTGTTCTCTGAGCTGGATGGTTTGGTCGTGGAGCTTTCATCGTTCTTCTGAACGACATCATCAGCACAAACTTCAGATAGAAGTGAAGTGTTCGAATTTCTCCATATGCGTTTCACAGCTTGTTCTGTGATATATCAATACACGTGGACAACTGCGGACACACATTCGATTAGAAAAATGTGGAAATCGTGGACAGAGGAAATTCTAAATACACAAGAGAATTTTTAGAAGCCTGGCACTCAGGGCAATCAGCAATCAACAAACATGTTGAAATCGATCCGATTTATCAACCAATCAAGAAACTTATGCATAAATATAGGAACAAGAATCAAACCAACAGGAGACAAAACCAAGACAAAAAAGTAAACAATGACAAATTTAAGGTCAATAAGAACCAATCAACATCGAGGTGCACAGAACAAGCTGTGAAACACATATGGAGAAATTCGAACACTTCACTTCTATCTGAAGTTTGTGCTGATGATGTCGTTCAGAAGAACGATGAAAGCTCCACGACCAAACCATCCAGCTCAGAGAACAAAACTCCATCAAAATCAAGAGGCTGCATTTTATCAGCGTCTTCAAGGCTGAATGGCAATCGCTGTCAAAAGTGCAAAAGATAATTAACAATCCCAAACCAAAACTTGAAAGAGTGAGCAAATAAATGTACACTAACCCTAGTCAATTGTTGTGTGGGAACTTGCTATATGAGCTTGAAGGCACAGATAACGAAACTAACTACAAATTATTTATAATGGACAACAAGAACAAGAGAACGACATCTTTGTAATTGTAGCATCATCTGTTAAATAATAAGGATAGAGATGACAGATTAGAGCATGTTACGTATGCCCAACAACCGCCTACCTCGAAGCGCGATGTTGTGCAGTGCAGGGGTTGGCTGTAAGACAGATGGTGGCGGCCAAACCAAGACATGGCATCAATCCATGAAGTCACTGATAATTGAACCTGAGCAAGTCAACGAGTGTAGACCATGTGGCTGGGGTCCGCATGATTGTTGCAACCAATGGTTAGAGACGAAATGGCTCAAAACTGTCCCCAGTGGTCCACGTGTATTTGTTCTTTGTTTTTCCCCAAATTCTGAGATGCTGAATTCCTCATAATTTTGTTTGTTTTCATTTCGCTGATTTATATTTTCTTTTCAAATAGTATTTCAGATGCCTAATCTTTTTCATTACGACTAGCCCCCAAATGCCCTGGTATGGCCGAGAGCGGGGAGGGTTCGCCCTCCCTCTCGAAATACTCTCACACGGCCACGCATATACAGCCTCTGCCAAGGAAGTCCTACTCACTGCCTTCTCGCACCACGGGTGTTGTTTACGAAAATGAGAGGACGAAAAGCGAACGTCCGGCGCTATAACCGGATCCCAATTCTATGGTGCACATGGACTCCAGTATCCTGAAGGAACAAATGGCGTATGAACCATCTTTTAGTCACCGGCTTCCATGAGACTGCATCTCCTCACGATGCTCCACTGCCTTGTGGACTAGACTTTTAGGTCAAAGGCTCGGGGTGTGGCCCCCCAAGAAAACCACCTGCTTCGGTTTGGGCACCCGGGCAGTATCTCAGCCCACACACTAAAACTATGATGAACTTTCTGCTTATGGAAAATATTCGTTTCCCTCCGAATAACATTGAAATGACTGGTAATATTATTATTATTTACTACGTCATTTATTCACTATCTCCTATTTCTACATTTTGTATCCGTTTCGACTCAGACAGCAGCTCGCCTATGGTGAAAATTCAGCTTTATCTAAACGTTCTCGAGTCACTGCCTGGTTGAAAATTGTATGTTGCCACCGAATACGAGTACTGAAGCAGTTTTTCTGAAACCACGTACACCATTCAAACTGGCTGCCTTCAACGTTCGCACACTTATGCAGGTCGGACAACAGATAAGGCTGGCTATGTCTTTGGAAAGTCTTAATATTGACGTTTGTTGTCTATTCGAGACCCGTATTCAAGACTCTGATGAAGTACTACAAGTTCGCTCTCCATCTGTCGCTTCAAAAAGCTTGTTTTATGTGCGTTTATCCGGGGACCCTGTGGCATGTTCGTCTGGTCTTGCTGGCGTTGGTGTCGCACTAAGCGCAAGAGCTGAGGCAGTACTAGTCGACTGGATCCACATTAACAGTCGGTTATGTGCTGTTAGATTGGAAAGTTCCATCAAAGTGAGAAGAAATCGGCGTGAGAAACGATGTCTTTTCGTCATCTCCGCCTATGCCCCGACAGATTGCAGCCCGGATGCAATCAAGGACGAGTTCTACCACCAGCTAACTGTTCTTCTCCAGAAAGTGCGTTCGACAGATATTGTTGTACTAGCCGGAGACTTGAATGTTCAGGTCGGGCGTCTAGGCACAGAAGAGAGTCGTTTAGGTGGCCGATGGGGACTCGTTGGTCGCAGAACAGATAACGGGGAACGTTTACTGCAACTATGCACAGACCACAACCTGTTTCTGGCTAGCACTAACTTTCGGCACAGTCATCGCCGATGTGCCACCTGGCGTCCACCTTCTGCATCTCAAGCCTGGACTCAGATTGATCACATCGCGATCAGCTACCGCTGGAGCGGTTGTGTACAAGACTGCCGCTCCTTTTGGAGTACCTATCTGGAATCTGATCATGCTCTAGTCTGCGCCAATCTTACCTTACTTTTCAGTGGACAACGAAGTGACCGCCAACACAGGATTGATGTT